TAACAACAATTAACGCACAACCATAACCCAACAATACGACATGTGTGTCCTCAGCTCCCAACATTGTGAGTGTGTGTGTGTGCGCGTAATAAGGCTAACAGTTCTAAGGACATTTTGAATATTTTATAGACTATTTGCAAAGCAATTGACACTTTAATTGCCACAATCGGCAACGGTAAATAGAAAATGGATGGAGGGGAGTTGGGAAAACCAGGTGGAAAGTTGTCGAACAAAAAATTGAAATTTCTCCATTTCACCTCCATTTTTCTTGTTGCTGTAGGCGTAAAAAAAGACGAAGCGAAAGACAAATAGCAAAGCAAATGTCAAGCGTGGTGAGGCTTACGGGCAGAGAAAACAACGGTAACGGCAACAAGTAGCTTCGAAGGATGGCAAAAAGGACACCATAAATAATTCCCAAGTATTGGCAAACAAAAAAGCACGACAAAACTTTTCTGCTTGGATTCTTCGGAAGCTTTTATGTGGAGGATTGTTTTTCCGACACGTGTACAAATGTTGGAATTTTTTGTGTGTTTGAAATATTTGTGTGGTTATGGAGCCTAGAAGACCTCCAGCTCTTCTATGGAGCCTAGAAGACCTTCAGCTCTTCTATGGAGCCTAGAAGACCTTCAGCTCTTCTATGGAGCCTAGAAGACCTTCAGCTCTTCTATGGAGCCTAGAAGACCTTCAGCTCTTCTATGGAGCCTAGAAGACCTTCAGCTCTTCTATGGAGCCTAGAAGACCTTCAGCTCTTCTATGGAGCCTAGAAGACCTTCAGCTCTTCTATGGAGCCTAGAAGACCTTCAGCTCTTCTTTGGAGCCTAGAAGACCTTCAGCTCTTCTATGGAGCCTAGAAGACCTTCAGCTCATCTATGGAGCCTAGAAGACCTTCAGCTATTCTATGGAGCCTAGAAGACCTTCAGCTCTTGTATGGAGCCTAGAAGACCTTAAGCTCTTCTATGGGCAATAGAAGACCTACAGGTCTTCTATGGAGCCTAGAAGACCTCCAGGTCTTCTATGGAGCCTAGAAGACCTCCAGCCATCCTATGGAGCCTAGAAGACCTCCAGCTCTTCTATGGGCAAAAGAAGACCTCCAGCTCGTCCACGGGCAATAGAAGCCCTCCAGCTCTTCTATGGGCAAAATAAGCCCTCCAGCTCTTCTATGGGCAAAAGAAGACCTCCAGCTATTCTATGGAGCCTAGAAGACCTCCAGCTCTTCTATGGGCAAAAGAAGACCTCCAGCTCTTCTATGGGCAAAAGAAGACCTCCAGCTCTTCTATGGGCAATAGAAGACCTCCAGCACTTCTTTGGGCAATAGAAGACCTCCAGCATTTCTTTGGGCAATAGAAGACCTCTAGCTCTTCTTTGGGCAATAGAAGACCTCCAGCACTTCTTTGGGCAATATAAGACCTCCAGCTTTTCTATGGGCAAAAGAAGACCTTCAGCTGTTCTATGGGTAATAGAAGACCTTAACCTCTTCTATGGATTTTCTTATTATTTCGATTTTGATTTTTTAGCTGAGAAAAATTGCCAATGTCACATAGAGGGTGTGTGTGATATTAAATGGCATGATAAGACTAAAAATTTTTGTCAAATCATTTGAAAAAAGTGCTTTCAAAGGCTTATAAAAAGGAAATGATATCAAGAGTATATGAAAAAAATCTGTCGATGTTAGTCGTCCAACGAAAGAAATCTCGCCTCAAAAAAAAAAAAAAACCTTTACTTTAGAGACAGACCCCTAAACACTAGAGGCCTAAGAAGCGATCATGGTCTAAAACCAGAAAAACAATATCGCCACAATATTTAATTGTGGCAAATCTCCTCCTCCTCCTCCTCCTTAGATCAGATGGTCCTCCATTGTCATGGAAAAACGTCGCCTTAAAACTTTCAAATCTAAGTCGATATTCGAGACTGATTCCATTTGATTTGGATTTAAGTTTTTTTTTTTTACAGCAAAATCAATGAAGCATAAAATTTTTCCTGTTGATGTATTAGTAATTCAGAAAAAAATACTGGCATTGTCCCCGCCCTCCCGCACACACACAGAGACTATATACTGCTTCAACTTCCAATGCCACAAATGTCCGCTGCTAAAAGACTGTATTTAGATTTCTGGGGAGTTAAAAACGAAATCAAGAAAAAAAAAACGACAACACGCATGGAAAACCGCTTAGAAGACAAGTAGAACATTTAGCAACAGTGGAGGACAAAAGAAAAAAAGTAAGAATTTTTTCTAGAGACCTCAAGGTCTTCTATTGGAAATAGCAGACCTCAAGACCTTCTATTGAAATAGCAGACCTTAAGGTCTTCCATTAAAAATAGCAAACCTTAAGATCTTCTATTGAAAATAGCAGACCTCAAGGTCTTTAACGGAAAATAGCAGACCTCAAGGTCTTCTACGGAAAATATCAGACCTTAAGGTCTTTAATGGAAAATAGCAGGCCTCGAGGTCTTCTACGGAAAATAGCAGACCTCAATGTCTTCTACGGAAAATAGAAGACCTTAAGGACTTCTATAGAAAATAGCTTACCTTAAGGTCTTCTATAAAAAATAGCAGACCTTAAGGTCTTCTATTCAAAATAGCAGACCCTGAGGTCTTCTATTAAAAACAGTAGACTTCAAGGCCTTCTGTTTGAAATAGCAAACCTAAAGATCTTCTATTGAAAATAGCAGACCTTAGGGTGCTGCATTGAAAATAGCAGACCTTAGGGTGTTCTATTAAAAATAGCTGACCTTAAGGTGTTCTATTAAAAATAGCTGACCTTAAGGTGTTCTATTGAAAATAGCAGACCTTAAGGCCTTCCATTGAAAATAGCTGACCTTAAGGCCTTCTATTGAAAATAGCAGACCTTAAGGCCTTCTATTGAAAATAGCAGACCTTAAGGCCTTCTATTGAAAATAGCAGACCTTAAGGCCTTCTATTGAAAATAGCAGACCTTAAGGCCTTCTATTGAAAATAGCAGACCTTAAGGCCTTCTATTGAAAATAGCAGACCTTAAGGCCTTCTATTGAAAATAGCAGACCTTAAGGCCTTCTATTGAGAATAGCAGACCTTAAGGCCTTCTATTGAGAATAGCAGACCTTAAGGTCTTCTATTGAAAATAGCAGACCTTAAGGTCTTCTATTGAAATTAGCAGACCTTAAGGTCTTCTATTGAAATTAGCAGACCTTAAGGTCTTCTATTGAAAATAGCAGACCTCAAAGTGTTCTATTGAAAATAGCCGACCTCATGGTACCTCAAGGTCTCCTATTGAAAATAGCAGACCTTAGGGTCTTCTATGGACGATAGAAGACCCCTCGAGCTCTTCTATGGACGATAGAAGACCCCTCGAGCTCTTCTATGGACGATAGAAGACCCCTCGAGCTCTTCTATGGACGATAGAAGACCCCTCGAGCTTTTCTATGGACGATAGAAGACCCCTCGAACTCTTCTATGGACGATAGAAGACCCCTCGAGCTCTTCTATGGACGATAGAAGACCCCTCGAGCTCTTCTATGGACGATAGAAGACCCCTCGAGCTCTTCTATGGACGATAGAAGACCCCTCGAGCTCTTCTATGGACGATAGAAGACCCCTCGAGCTCTTCTATGGACGATAGAAGACCCCTCGAGCTCTTCTATGGACGATAGAAGACCCCTCGAGCTCTTCTATGGACGATAGAAGACCCCTCGAGCTTTTCTATGGACGATAGAAGACCCCTCGAGCTCTTCTATGGACGATAGAAGACCCCTCGAGCTCTTCTATGGACGATAGAAGACCCCTCGAGCTCTTCTATGGACGATAGAGGAACCTCGAGCTCTTCTATGGACGATAGAAGATAGACGATAGAAAACCTATGGACGATAGAAGAGACCCCTCGAGCTCTTCTATGGACGATAGAAGACCCCCGAGCTCTTCGATAGAGCTGGACAATAGAAGAGCCATCGAGCTCTTCTATGGACGATAGAAGTGCCCCGAGCTCTTCTATGGACGATAGGAGAACCTCGAGCTCTTCTATGGAAGATACAAGACCTTGGAGCGCTTCTATGGACAATAGAAGAACCTCGAGCTCTTTTATGTATGATAGAAGATCCTCAAGCTCTTCTACGGACGATAGAAGACCCTCGAGCTCTTCTATGGTGCATAGCAAAACCTTGAGCTCTTCTATGGACGATAGAAGACCCTCGAACTCTTCTATCGACGACAGAAGACCCTCGAACTCTTATATCGACGATTGAAGACCCTCGATCTCTTCTATGAACGATAGAAGACCCTCGAGCTCTTTTATGGATGATAGAAGATCCTCAAGCTCTTCTACGGACGATAGAAGCCCCCCGAGCTCTTCTATGGTGCATAGAAAACCCTCGAGCTCTTCTATGGACGATAGAAGACCCTCGAGCTCTTCTCCAAGTTTTTTCTATAAAAAAAAAATTGGCAGTAGCCTTGGCTTCAAGTTTTTCCTATAAAAAAAAATCACCGAACCAAGGTCCGAAGTTTTTATTTATGACAAAGTGACTTATTTATGACAGTGACTTTTCCTCCCAACTGTAAGTCCAGACACTTGAAATTGAAACGATGAAATAATGCTAATAATTTTCTATATTTTTCCCAGATATGATTTTTTTTCCTTTCGTAGATACATTTGCGTGTGTGTGTGGATTCACACACACATACACACATATATATTTGTAGATTATTTTTTTATATAAAATGTAATAGAACTGCATTACCAGTTGCTGCAGCACCACTTGTTTTCTGGCCATTTTGATTGTCTCGCATGAAAAACGTTTTGTTTTTGACTGCAAAAGTTCGCACGTCCCATCCAACATTGGAGGAGGTAACAGAATTAAAAAAAAAATGCTAAGGTGATTTGGAAAGTGAAAAAAAAATTGCATATCTCAGGCAGGCAGGCAGGCAGAAATAGAACAATTGAAAATGGCAATAAGTCAGTCGAAACGAGTTATTTAAACAAAACGGTTGTCTTCAAATCGAAAATTGGCAAATATCCGATTTTTAATTCAATCTCTGAAAAAAAAAAAAAAAAAACTGAATAACAACGGCTCTGTATCTAAATCTCCGTTTGTTTTGTAGTTTTCTCAAATTTCTCAAATATTTAAAGAGCCTGCGGCAAAAACAACCTCGAAAAATGAAAGTCGATCGCACGAAATTGCTGATCATCTCGGCCAGTGTTTTCGTTTTTGCCATCATGAACGGCTGGCTGATTTTTCCGAAAATTTTGAAATTTATTTTAAAGAAACAGGTTAATTTGAAACCCGGCTCGGATATACGAGAGCTGTGGGAGAACACACCATTTCCGTTGCATTTTTATTTTTATATCTTCAACATCACCAATCCGGATGGGTTTTTGAGGGGAGAAAAGCCAGCATTGCGGGAAGTGGGGCCATTTGTATTTGAGTAGGTTTTTTTTGGGGAAATAAAAAAAGGAATTGAGGAAGTTAGTAAAAAATATTATTTTTTCAAGTGAATGGAAATCGAAATATGATCTCGTTGACGATGAGGAAGAGGACACGGTCTCCTATAATATGCGCAATGTTTTCATTTTCAATGAAGAGGCCTCAAAGCCATTGACGGGCAATGAGGTGTTCACGCTAATGCATCCGTTGATTGTGGTAAGTCTTTTATCAAGGAAGGAAAATTTCTGAAAAAAATCTGAACCCTAGACCCTAGAAAACAAAAAATATATCATGCTATATTTTCTGAAACCTTGAAAATCCAAAATACTCTTCTATGGACGATAGAAGACCCTCGAACTCTTCTATGGACAATAGAAGACCCTCAAGCTGTTCTATGGACGATAGAAGAGCCTCGAACTCTTCTATGGACGATAGAGGACCCTCGAGCACTTCTATGGACTATGTAAGAGCCTCGAGCACTTCTATGGACTATGGAAGAGCCTCGAGCACTTCTATGGACTATAGAAGACCCTCGAGCTCTTCTATGGACTATAGAAGAGCCTCGAGCTCTTCTATGGACTATAGAAGAGCCTCGAGCTCTTCTATGGACTATACAAGAGCCTCGAGCTCTTCTATGGACTATAGAAGAGCCTCGAGCACTTCTATGGACTATAGAAGAGCCTCGAGCACTTCTATGGACTATAGAAGAGCCTCGAGCACTTCTATGGACTATAGAAGAGCCTCGAGCTCTTCTATGGACTATAGAAGAGCCTCGAGCTCTCCTATGGACTATAGAAGAGCCTCGAGCACTTCTATAGACTATAGAAGAGCCTCGAGCTCTTCTATGGACTATAGAAGAGCCTCGAGCTCTTCTATGGACTATAGAAGAATTTTTTTCTCAAGAATCTCATGTGTGGTATTTTAATGAAACATTTCTTTTTCAAGGATGAAGGACATCACACGTCTAAAGAAAATATTTTTTCCTAGGACCGCAAGGCCACAGACGTGTTAAAAAAAATATTTTGTCCAAAGATCAAAGGACCTCAGACGTGTTTTTTTAGAGAAAATATTTGATCAAATATTTGATACAAGGACCTCAGAATAATTTTTACTCAAGGACTTCAGGCGTGGATTTTTTTAAAGAAAATATTTTTTCTAAGTTCGAAAGGACCCCAGACGTGGTTTTTTAAAGAAAATATTTTTTCCAAGTTCGAAAGGACCCCAGACTTGGGACCCCCTTTTTCAAGAATAAAAGGACCCCAGTTTTGTTTTGTTTTTTTAAAGAAAGGTTTTTATTTTCAAGGACCACAGGCGTGGATTTAAAAAAAATTCCATGGTCGAAAAGACATTAGATTTGGTTTTTTTAAGGAAATATTTTGTCCAAGGACCAAAGGACCTCAGGCGTGGATTTTTTTTAAAGAGAATACTTCTTCAAAGGACTAAAGGACCTCAGACGTGGTATATTAAAGATAATATTTTTTCAAAAGACATAACGGTCTCAAATGTGGTTTTTTATAGAAAATATTTTTTCCAAAGACCAAAGGACCTCGGTTTTGTAAACGAAAATTTTTATTCTCAAGGACCGTTGGCGTGGGTTTTTTAAAGAAAATATTTTTTCCAAGGGCCAAAAGACGTCTGACTTTGTTTTTTTAGACAATATTTTGTTCAAGGACTTCAAACGGGGCTTATTAAAGAAAAGTATTTTCTTCAAGGACTTTAGACGTGTATTAATATTTTTCTAAAAACAAAATGATCAGGATGTTTTCTTTTTTTTGTGAAAAAAATATTTTTTCAAATAAACAAAGAACTTCGAACGTAATTTTTTTTTAAGAAAAAAAGGACGAAAGGACTTCAGTTGTGGTTTATTAAAGAAAATGTTTTTTCCAAGGACCAAGGATGTGGATTTATTCAAAGAAAATTTGTGTCTCAAGGACCTCAGGTGCCGATTTTTTTAGAAAAAATATTTTGTCCAAGGACGAAATAATCTCTGAGGTCATATTTTCACGGAAAATATTCAGAAGGGGGATTTTTTTAAAGAAAATACTTTTTGCAAGGACCAAAAGACCTCAAACGTCGATTTTTTAAAAAAGAAAGTTTTAACGCCTGTATTTTGTCCACAGACCTCAGACGTGGATTTTTTAAAGAAAAATTTTGCCTCAGAAACAAAGTCTTCAGATGTCGACTTCTTTGAAAAATATTAATTTTTTTTTCGAGCCTAAGGAAATATTAAATGTGTTTCCTATGGGCTATAGGTCTCAGGGACGGATTCCTTACATTTTCCTAGCCCCCCCCCCCCCCCCCCCCCTTAATTCTAACGGCCAATATTCCCATAGAATTAGTTTTACAATTCAGTCATTATATTAAATATCTTATTATCCTTTCCCTATTCGTCCTTTCAATTACCAGTCCTTGGTAATTATGCCAATTACTTTATTAGCCGTTGTTGTGAATGAAAATTCCCAGGCAAGGTAGTATTTTTTGCAATACCAACAATCAATCAAGCAGTCAATCAAAGGGTCGGTTATCTGCTTAAGAATGCAATGTGTGATGCATACTTTTAGGCGCCAAGTCCAATTTGAGGCGCTGAATAAAACATTTGGGATAATTTTAAATAATTTAATTTAAATTATATAATTTTAATATTTTTTTCAGCCCATATCAGTTGTTGTCCAGCGAGAACGGGCCGCCATGATGGAACTGGTCTCCAAGGCCATTGATATTGTGTTCAAGGATCAAAAGGGTATATTGACGGGAACTTTTATGGATATTTTCTTTCGTGGCATTAGTGTGGACTGCTCATCGGATGAATTTGCCGCCAAGGCGCTGTGTACGGCCTTCTATACGGGGGAGGTGAAGCAGGCCATACAAGTGAATGATACGCATTTTTTGTTTTCCTTTATGGGGAGGGTAAGGGGCTTCCGGATGACAAATTTGAATCAAATTTCAATTGCATGTTCCCTAAATAGGCCAACAACTCGGATGCCGGTCGCTTTACAGCCTGTCGTGGTGTTAAAAATGTCCATAAAATGGGTACCATTCTAAAATTTGCCGATGAGCCGGAAATGGACATTTGGCCAGGGGATGCCTGCAATCAGTTCAGGGGTACCGATTCAACAGTGTTTCCTCCGTTTCTACACAAGGATGAAGGCCTGTGGGCATTCACCCCCGACCTTTGCCGTTCTCTGGGGGCTCACTATGTCAAGAAAAGCTCCTATCACGGATTGCCGGCCAGCTATTTTACCTTGGATTTGGGGGATATAAAGGTGAGGGGCAAATCTTCACAAAATAAAAAAAAATAACAAATTTTTATTCTAGGCCGATCCTGAGCTCCATTGCTTCTGTGATGACCCGGAGGATGTGGATACATGCCCGCCCAAGGGCACCATGAGTTTGCATGCGTGTACCGGGGCACCGGTCTTGGCCTCATTGCCCCATTTTTACAATGCCGATCCGGCCCTAATAGCTGGAGTGGATGGCCTGAATCCCAATGAGCATGATCATGCAGTTTACATTGATTTTGAATTGGTGAGAGAGAACCAAAGCGAAAAGAGAAGATAAATCAATTAAAACATCTTTCTTGCAGATCTCCGGCACTCCCCTGCGTGCCGCCAAACGTTTGCAATTCAGCATGGACATTGAACCGGTACCAAAAATTGAACCCGTGGCCAATATACCCAAGGTGGTGCTGCCCATGTTTTGGGTAGAGGAGGGGGCAGCCCTGAACAAGACCTACACCAATATGCTGAAATACACACTGTTTTTGTAAGGCAAAGATGAGAGGTTTCGAATTTAAAATTTCTTCCATTGATTTACATTTTTTCCAGGGGTCTCCGCTTCAACGCAGGTCTACGTTGGACCCTGATAACCCTCTCAATGGTTGGCATGATGGCCAGTGGTTATTTGTTCATGAAGAAATCGGATAGCATAGATATAACCATACCACCCAAATTGATCGACAACAAGGTGATGTCCGTCAAACAGGCCATGCCACCAACCCAGGATTCACCCGAGAAGCAGCCACCGCCGCCGCCTTTATCGCAGGCGGATCTATCAAATCCCAAGGTGGAAAAGTATTGAGAAAGTGCGTCTTATAAAAAGCTCTCTTTATATATTTTTAAGTAGTCAATAGAAGCCTTGGAAAAGGTCCTGTAGAGTTCTCAAAAAAGTAGCAACTCTTATATTTAAAAAAAAAATACTTTGCGGATGGAAAATATTTATTTCGAAAAGTATCTGAAATATTACGTATTCTAGTTTTCGTTTCTCGATTTTTGAAAAAATGTAAAAACGTTAGCTTAAAAATTGACAAACTTAGAAAAATAAATCAATTCATCAAAATTATTTCAATTTCAGAGAGTCCAACTGTCCAAACTTATTATTATTTACAAATAAAAAATTACAAAAATGTATATTTATTGCTGGCGTATGAAAGCGGAAGCTCTCCTCTTCTATAAGCGTCAATTTTCAAAAAGATACTCCCTCAGGATCAGAAGATATGACCAAATGACTGAGATCATTGACACAAAGTGTGTTCTGGGTCAGGATATATGTTTTATATCGAATTCTTTCTAACTTTTAAAAAATTATATATCAATATTGCTCATTTTTAGGCCAAGATACTTCCATTCTTCACAAAAAAAGTTATTTCATTACGATATACCAACTACTTCCAAGTTTATGAGCGCTGGAAACGATTACCCAAAAAGATCATTAATGCAAACTATGTTTTGGCTCAGGATATATGTTTTATATCGAATTCTCTCTAAAATTCCAAAAAGATATATCAATATTGCACATTTTTAGGCCGCGATAGTTCCATTTTTTATAAATCAAGTCATTTCATTACGATACCTCACCTACTTCTAAAATTATGGCTCCTAAAAACGATTTCCCAAAAAGACCCAGAAATTTAACTATTTTCGGTATGGGGTTTTACGTGGTGATATATCTGGAATTTTAAGAAAATTTCCTCTCCTTTGTTATTCGTTGTCAAGTTGAGGCTCCTCCCTTTCATTTGCCCCCAATTTCATGGGGATACTCCATCAGGATCGGAAGTTATGAGCACTTGAGCGAGAATATCAAAACTACACCCGTTGTCATGCATAGCAACTACACAATTCCCATATTTCTGCGGAACTTTTCAGGAACAATATGGCAATATTGTGCATGATTGAAAAGAGCGACCTCTTTAGTGCCCGAAAAAAGTCATTTCCTCCCAATGCACAAACTATATATAAAGCTATGTACCCTGGAAAGGATTACCAAAAAAGTCCCAAAAATGTAGAAATTTTCGGTATGGGTTTTATATTGTCATAAAATATCAAATTCCACGAATTTTTCCTCTCCTTGTTGTCGTTGCAAAGCTGATGCTTCTCCCTTCCACTTGCCATGGAGATACTCCATCAGGTTCGGATGTTATAATCACTTGACTGAGACGATTGAATTAAACTTGTTGTCATGCATATTAACTACAGAATCCGCCTATCTGAGGAACTTTTAAAGATCAATATGGCCACATTTTGCATAAATGAAAAGGGCGACATCTTTATTGCCAGAAAAAAGTCATTTCATCACAATACACAAACTACATTCAAATTTATGAACCCTGGAAACGGTAACTGAAAAAGGCAAAAAAATATTGATTTTCGGTAACATCTTGAATTAGTTATATCTCCTGTATTTTGTGAGAAACATCTCTATTTGAAGTTGAGGTTGTGAGCTTGAAAATCCCGCTTCCATATGCGATAAATTTCATGGAGATACTCTATCAGGGTTGGAAGTTATTATCACTTGGGTGAGACCTCCAATGTTCAAAGAATAGGACCCTCAAAATGTAGTGTTTGGGTGTAAAATTTGGCACTTTTCGGTAACTATTTAGTGTGGCCAGATCTCTGGGATTTCTTGAGAATTTTTTTTACAAACTAATTATTTGTAGTCTATAACACTTCTCTTTTAAGAGCTTGTACTTTCATGATAGTGCTTGGAGGAATTTCGAAGATATAACCCTTGAAATATGATCATCAATGTGAATTTATGGTATAAAAAGTGAAAGCAGTTTTTCTCAATGACATGAAAAATTTCAAAGCAAAATATGGCAACTTTATGCATCGATGAAATGAGGAGTAGCCATACTTTAAAAAAAATATATTTTGTCACGATAAACCCGCTACATTTATAGTTATGGCCTCATGAATTTAATACGTAAAATGGGCAAAAGATGTGACACATTTGAGTAACTTTTGTAACTTGGTCATAACTCGGATGTTTTACGAGATACTGATTTTTCGAATAATTATTTTCATTATACAGGGTCTCCTCTTGGAAATATCAGCCTTTTTATAGTAATACTTGGTCAATTTTGGAAAATATAGCCTCACGGGTGTGTCCATCACTGTCCATTTGTGAATGCAAAAAATACGACAATTTAATGTACATTTTATTAAAATTTCCTAAAGTTTTCCAAGGAAATATGGCAGTATAATACATTTTTGATAAGGGAGGAAGCCATTACTTAAAGATCAAGCAATTATATCAAGTATTATGGATTACTTGCAAAGTTATGGCCTCTAGAAAGTGTTAAGCCGAAATGGTGTTAAATTTGGCACTTTTGGGTAACTAATTTATTTGACCATATCTTTGGTATTTCGTGCTCTACCACACTACACTATTGATTATATTGAGCTTAAAGCTTTCCTCTTTCAAAATCAGAAATGTTCATGGTGATACCCAGAAGGGTACCAAAGATATGTGGCCATACATAAAGTCGTTACTGTGAACCACTAGCTTCATAAAGTGCAAACAACTTTTCTCAAATTCTGAAAAACTTTCAGATATATGGCAACTTCAAATATGGCAACATTACGCAGCGATATAAAGAAGAGTTGCCGTGTTTTTAAAATAAATTTATTTCATTAAGATATACTCGCTACTTTAAAAGTTATGGCCTCATGAACTGATTACACAAAACAGTAAAAAAAATATGGCATATTTAAGTAACATTTGTAATTTAATTATATCTCATATATTTTAGGAGATACTGCTTTCTCGAGATATTATTTTCGTTGCAGAGGTTCTCTCCCTTTCACAATATCACCTTTTTCATAGAGATATTTGACCAATTTTGGAAGATCTAACCCAATGTATATACCTATCACTGTCCATTTGTGAATGCAAAAAAATACGACAAGTTAATGTAACTTTGGTTCAAATTTTCAAAAGTTTTCAAGAGAAATATGACAATATTATATATTTTTGAAGAGGTAAGAAGTCATTTTTTACAGATAAAGCAATAATATCAAATATCATGGATAACTTGCAAAGTTATGGCCTCTAGAAAGCGTTTACCTAAAAAGATGTTAAATTTGACACTTTTGCGTAACAGATCTATTTGATCATATCTTTGGTATTTTGTGAGTTACCACTCTACACTTTTTAGTATTTTCAGCTTAAAGCTTTCCTCTTTCAAAATCAGAAATGTTCATGGCGATATTCAGAAGGAGTCCAAAGATATGGTCACGCAAGTAAAGTCATTACTGTGAATCACCAGCACCACAAAGTGCAGACAGTTTTTCTCAATTTCTGAAAAACTTTCAAAGCGAAATATGGCAACATTAGGCATCGAAGGAAAGAAGAGCTGCCATGCTTTTAAAATCGATTTATTTCATCAAGAAATACCCACTACTTTAAAAGTTATGGCCTCAAGAGTCGAGTGCGCAAAAAGGCCGAAATTTTGAGTCATTTAAGTAACTATGCTCATTTGGCCATATCTCTGTCAGTTAATGAGATATTGCTAACCTAAATGATTTTTCTCAACGATGAAGTTCTCTTCTTTCAAATTCTTAGTCTATATAAGTATATATTTAGATGACTTGGTAAGATATGAGCCCATTGAAAGTTGAGAACTGAAGACCCTATTTTTTTTTCTCTGAATAATATTTTACATTGTTGCTTATCGTTCTTTCCTTAATCTTTTCACTAATTCCTTTGATGTTTTTTAACACTTTTTCTAGTGTCATAATCAGTTTTTTTTTTTCTTTAAATAAATTCACAAGCTACAAATAAATAATCTAATCACTTGAGGGCGATTAAAAACCACTTAGATTCTTGTGATTTAAAACAATATCTTATGACAATAAATATTGGCATAATCTACAAATTCTGGAATAATAATAATTCAACAATAAAATATTGTGGTAAAATTGGGTCACACATTATAGAAAAATAATTGGAAATTAAAAAAAAAATTGGAGGTTGTGATTAAGGCTTTCGAATCTGCTCTTTTTGAATATGTTTCCATCGGAATCGTAACAGAATCTCAATCGATACTCTATTTTCTCCACAATTTTTATAATATTTAAAACTTGAATATCAGTTTTTTTTACGTTCACCCATCCATCCAACCAATCAATCACATGAGATTAGTACCGACTGGCACCCCACTTTAAGAGCACTTTATCTTCATTAAATGAATCTTAAAAATTATCAAATATTTACATTTCTTTTTCGTATGCGGAGCTATTTTTGTGACTCGTTATCATGGAAATTTTCAAAAACAAAAACGGCAAATCACAAATTGTTGGCATATCTATTTTGTTATCGCTTATCACAGCTTTGCAAATTACTGGGTAAATTGTGCAGAGAGATGATAGTTACGAACGATGATGACGTTCAACAAATCATATCAAATTTTGAGATTTTTTTTGGAGGAAATGTAAACAAATATTTCTTTTAACACATTTCAAAATAATTTGTTAATTTGCTGTTAATGTTATTTGAGTGATGAAAATAGAGGGGTTTTATTGACCATCAAGGAGAATTGAGATTATTTTTACTTTAAAAAAAAAAATTGTTAAAAAATTAATTTGGCTTAAGCCTCCCCCTCCCGCAGCTAGAAATTTTGGTCATTAAATCTTCATCTGTTCGGAGACGAGTTCGAAACTAAAGTCAATTGTATTTTTCCATTACCTCAAAGACACGTTCTCTGTCTAGCCCATAAAAATTGAATGGCTTGACGAAACAATTTGTGGTAATTATTTAATTTTCTTCCAAGAAGGAAATATTTGAAATATTTTGTTAGACTATCACGTTTTGGGGGCATGTGTTATGAGATTTTTAAATTTTTTCTTTTATAGAAAAAAATTCGCCAGGACACCTGGGTCCAAGGCTTTTGTCTATAGAAAAAATTCGTGAGACCCCTGGGGACCAATGCTTTTTTCTATAGAAAAAATTCGTGAGACCCCTGGGGTCCAATCCTTTTTTCTATAGAAAAAAAAAATCGCCAGGACCCCTTGGGTCCAAGGCTGTTTTCTATAGAAAAAAATTCGTGAAAACCCTAGGGTCCA